GCTCGGCATCCGACTTCGCGAATAGATGGGACATGCAGGCCATGGTAAGGTATGGGACGGAGGGGTGGGACGTCAGATGTGACGCTAGCGCACCTCGCTTGCCCCTCCCCCCCCTCTGCTTCCCCCCTCCTCGATCTCCCGCCTCTCCTCGAGCCCTGGGCCTCTGGAGCCATTTTGGCTCACGCCGCTTCGGCTCCACTTCGCCCCAGGCCCCGCAGGTGGCAGCGGCCTCCCTTCACGCTTCCCTCCCTGCACCCCGTGGCCACATGGAGCTGCTGATCTCCGCGCAGGACGCACGCTCCGGCAACCCGCCTGCTCGACCTGGCCGCTTGGGCCCGCCCGCCAGACCTGCCTGTTAGGGTCTACCCACCCGATCTGCCCGCCTGGTTCTGCCACATGTTCTCCTCTCGTCTCCCAGACCCCCTCCTGCTACTCCCTCTCGTGCTCCATCTTCCGCCCTCTTCCTTGTCCCGCCCTTCCATCCGTCCTCTCTTCCCCTGCCTTGGGGGCTGCTTCGATGTACCCCAAGGGGGTACGATCGAAGACGACGAGGGCGGGTAGCGAGGGTTTGGGATATACGTGTTGAGTGGCCCGCGAGCGGGTCAGAGCGATAAGTCTTAAACTGAGTGTTGTTGGTGATGTTGTTACCGCCATAGTTGGTATTATTGGTTGTTGTTGTTGCTGCTGTTAATGTAGTCGGTGCTGGTGTTTTAGTGTCGTTGTTGTTGCTGCTGCTGTTCTTGTTGTTTCGCTGCTACTGCTGATGCTGATAAGGTGGAGTTCTGATGTTCGTGGTGGTGGTGATGCTGGTGCTACTGATGATGATAATGATGATGATGCTGATGATGCTTATGATGATGATGGTGGTGATGATGATGATGATTACGATGCGGTTGATGAGGATAGCAACGACGACGAGGATGAGGACGAGAGTGATGATGATGATGATGAGGATGATGATGATGATGATGAGGATGATGATGATGATGAGGAGGGTGAGGATAAGGATGAATGCGACGCTGTTGCTGATGATGCTGGCGAGGTTGTTGTCGTTGATGATGGTATTGCGGTTTCTGTCGCTGTTGCGGTTGCTGTTGCTGCTGCTGTGGTTTTTGTTATTGTTGTTGTGGTTATTGCTGTTGTCGTTGTTGTCGTCGTCGTCGTCGTCGTCGTCGTCGTCGTCGTCGTTATTGCTGTCATTGTTTATGTAGTTGCTGTTGTGACTGCAGGTGTTGCTGTTGCTGTTGTTGTTTCTGCTGCTGCCGTTGTTGTTGTTGTTGTTGTTGTTGTTGCTGTTGACCTCTCACTACTGAAGAATGATTATCGTTGATCCCCCTCCGGGGCGCACTGTATTTTTCAAGTGAAGTGCCATTCCTGGGGCTCGCCACCTGCATTTTCTGGAGTTGGGCTCCTGGCCCCCGAGTTACAACAACAACGGCACTCGTCTGATACTTCCTCACAATTTACCTTCGAATCGCGCTCTCGCGCAGGATGTCCTCACAACTTATGCAGAAATCGCGTTCTCGCGTGGGACCTCCTCGCCTTTTGTTCAGACGCCGCGCCCTCGACTCTAAGGAATCACGCTCTAGTTTTGGCCAATCTCACGATTTACTTTGGAATCGCGCTATCGCTCGAGACTCGCGATTCATGCAGGACGCACGCTTCAGCAACCCGTCTGCTCGACCTGTCCGCCTGCGCCCGCCTTCTCGACCCGCCTGTCAGGGACAACCCGCCCGATCTGCCCGTCCGATTCTGCCACGTGTTTTCTGCTCCTGGCCCCTCTCCTGCTACTCTCTCTCTCTCTCGTGCTCCATCCTCCTCCCTCGCCCCTGTCCCTTTCTTCCATCCGTCCTCCTATTCCCCTGCCGTAGGGGCTGCGTGAAATACACGTTGCGGGTAAGAAAGACATATCCCCAAGGGGAACGATCGAAGACGAAGAGGGCGGGTATCGAGGGCGTGGAATGTACGGTTTAATGGCACAGATAAGAGCGAACATTCTTAAACTGATTGTTGTTTTTGGCGTTGTTGTTGGTTGCTGTTGTTGTTGTTGTTGTTGTTGTTGTTGTTGTTGTCGTTGTCGTTGTCGTTTTCGTTGTCGTTCTGGTTATTATTGTCGTCGAATTCCCAGTTCTAAAGAATAATTCTAGTTGAGCCCCCCTGCTCCTCACGCGGCTCGCATCCTTTTCCTAAGATTTTGTCGTTGGTCCCCGGTTTACATCAACAACGGCTCCCGCCTGATACATCCTCACCATTCATTTCAAGATCGCGCCCTCGCGCGGGACGAACCTCATAATTTAATGCACGAATCGCGCTCTCGCGTGACATTCCCTCACAATTCATACAGACGCCGCGTCCTCGCTCTCGCTTTGCTCCTTCCCGCGATCTGTTTTGAAGTCGCGCTATCGCTCGAGACCTCCCCGCGATTCATGCAGGACGGTTCTGCCACGTGTTTTTTTTCTCCTGGCCCCCCGTCCTGCCAATCTCTCCCGTCCTCCATCCTTCTGCCTCCCCCTTCCATCCGTCCACTCCTCCCCTGGCAGGCAGGGAAAAAATATGCCACCCAAGGGGGTACGATCGAAGACGAAGAGGGCGGGTATCGAGGGCTTGACGTCCTGAGAACTTGTGCAGGAATTGCGCTTTCGTGTGGGACGCCCTCGCAATTTATTCAGACGCCGCGCCCTCGACACTCTTCCCCCCATCCCTGGGGGCACCCGCCCCTTCCTGGGGGTGGGCCCGGCGAGATCCCTCCTCCCTCCTCCCCTCCCCCTCCTCTCATGCTATGACATGCTATGATCTGCCGTGCTGTTCTATGCCATTCTTTTCCATCCATCGCGTACCCTCTTGGCATCATTGCCCCGCTCGGCATCCGACTTCGCGAATAGATGGGAGATGCAGGCCATGGTAAGGTATGGGACGGAGGGGTGGGACGTCAGATGTGACGCTAGCGCACCTCGCTTGCCCCTCCCCCCCCCTCTGCTTCCCCCCTCCTCGATCTCCCGCCTCTCCTTGAGCCCTGGGCCTCTGGAGCCATTTTGGCTCACGCCGCTTCGGCTCCACTTCGCCCCAGGCCCCGCAGGTGGCAGCGGCCTCCCTTCACGCTTCCCTCCCTGCACCCCGTGGCCACATGGAGCTGCTGATCTCCGCGTCGGGCGGCGTGGAGGCGGCGGCCACCGCGCCTTTCCCCGCCCGCCCGCCCTCCTGCAGGGAGGCCTCGGTCCGCTGCGTGCTGCCCCTCGAGGCGGGTGGGAGCGTCGGTGCCCGGCTGCTGGAGCCGAGCGAGGGCCCAGTCCTCTGCGACCGCGGCTGGGCGCAGCTCGGCGGCGAGGAGTGGGTCTGCCTCGCCTGCGCCGCGGCCTCCCGGCTGCTCCCTCCGCTGCGCGTGCGGGGTTGCGCCTCGGGCTGGGCGCCGTGCTTCGACGTCGAGGAGCGGCCGGACCGCCCGCCGCTGCCGCGCTCCGTGCACGTCGCGGCGGCCTCCCCGGCAGGCGCCGCGGCCGCGGAGGGCGACGCCGCCGCGGCCTCCGGCGCGGGCCGCGCGCTCGACGCGGTCGCGGGCGGGGCTGGCAGCGCGCAGTGCTTCGGCTGCACGGGCGCGCAGTCGGAGGCGAGCCTGGGCCTACGCGCGGCGCGGGCGCCGCCGGGGCCGCGGGTGCGGTCGTACAGGGCGGAGCGGGCCGACCGCACCCCGGAGGAGGCCCTGCAGCAGCTGCTGGGCGGAGGCGCCTCGGGCCTGCCCCAGTGGCTGCTGCAGGCTCCTCGGAGGGTGGGGTGCTGGCCGTGCCGCGTGCGCAGCTGTGGGCCGCCAGGGCGGAGCTGGAGCGCTCGGGGCACGCTCGACTGGAGGGCCTGAGCTGGGACGAGGTGGGGGTCTCCATGCAGGCCATAGCTGACACCATGGCCTCGCTCCCGGAGCGCGGTGTGCCGGCCGTCTTCGCATTCACGTACGGCGAGGTCTGGGCGTTGTGGCGGAGCCTCTTTGCGGCGGCGGCCGAGCTGCGGCGTCAGCGAGGAGGAGCTGCACCTGGACGCGTCGGTGTTCGCGTGGACGTTGCGGCCAGCCGCCGCCGCGGGTGAGGTCGGGAGCAACTTTGGCAGGCCCCACCGCGAAGACAGCTACGCGGACTGCCACACCGCGGACGGGCGGCTGAGCATCCTCAGCATGTGGCTGCCTGTGGTGCCGGTGACGACGTCCAACGGCTGCATGTACGTCGTCCCCGCCCAGCACGACCCGCTCTTCGCAGAGCCGTCGCACCCCCTGCACATGACATGCGACCCGAAGAGTGGATGCCCTGGGCGCACTTTCGGCCCCTCCCGGCCTCGCCTGGGGACGTGCTCATGTGGAAGGGCAACCTCATCCACTGGGGCTCTGCTCCCGGCGGCGCTGGGGACCCACGCAAGAGCATCGCCTCCGCCTTCTTCAGGGCCGGGTCGGCGGCCGGGCAGGGCATAAGCCTGGGCCAGCTGCGGGCTGGGCTCAGCGTGAGCGCTCGGTTGCAGCTGGTGCTGCGGGCGCTGCTGGTCTACTCGGACTGGCACCACGAGTTCGCTGGGTTGGAGCGCGTGCTGCAGGGGCCCGGTCTTGAAAAGGCGATCCAGGCGGGGCTCCATGAACGGGTGGCAGCTGGAAGCATGCCGCACAGCAATTAGAGTGCGGGCGGGCGGGCTGGATTTTGCTTCGGGGAGGGGCCAACGACGCATGGGAGGCAACAGCTTGTTTGCACGATGGACGCTGGAAGAAAGGGACCGTGCCTTGTGCTGCCCGGTCTTGGCTGGAGTGCTGCTCTGCTCCAGCGGTCGGCGCTCCACGGCGCCCAGCCAGGTAACCCAGGTCAGAACCTCGAGCTTTGGGCCTCCCCTCCCCTCCTGTTCCTCCCAGGAAGGGGAGGAGTAGGAGGGGGAGGAGTGGAGGAGGAGGAGGAGGAGGAGGAGGAGGAGGAGGAGGAGGAGGAGGAGGAGGAGGAGGAGGAGGAGGAGGCTCTCCCCCCTTGTGCCCGCCGCAGGCGGCCGGCCAGCACGGGGCGGTGCTCCACTGCCTGAAGAAGGCGCCCCTTTGCAGAGTCTCTGTGCCGCCGCCGTCCCCTCGGCTCTCGGACGACGACCACAACGCCTGGACGACGACGGCGACGGCGACGACGACGCCGGGACGTCAGAGGAGGAGAAGGTACCGATGTATAGTCGGCCTTCAGGGAGACCCTCGTCACCACCGCCGGATTCGCTTCGAACATCTGGTCAGAAAGCACACCGGGAGAGGTCCATGGAGTAGCGGCATCGGTATTTTTTAGTTTCCCCAGGACCACCGCTGGGGTGGCGTCTGGACGGTGCCCTACGATCGACGGCGCTCGTCGACGCTCGACGAGGAGGAGGAGGAGGAGGAAGATGAGGAGGAGGAGGAGTGAGGAGTTAGGAGTGAGGAGTGATGTGAGAGGAGTGATGATGCTGCTGCTGCTGCTGCTGCTGATGATGATGATGATGATGATGATGAGGATGAGGATGAGGATGATGATGATGATGATGCTGCTGATGATGCTGCTGATGATGATGCTGATGATGATGATGATGCTGATGATGATGATGATGATGATGATGATGATGATGGTGATGGTGATGATGATGATGATAGGGATGACGATGAGGATGATGATGATGACGATGATGAGGAGGATGAGGAGAAGGAGGAGGAAGAGGAGGAGGAGGAGGAGGAAGATGAGAGGATGGAGGAAGCAGGCGGAGGAGGAGGAAGAGGAGGAGGAGGAGGAGGAGGAGGAGTGAGGAGTTAGGAGTGAGGAGTGGGGAGTGAGGTGCGAGGAGTGACGATGATGATGATGATGATGATGATGATGATGATGATGATGATGATGCTGATGATGATGATGATGATGATGATGATGATGATGATGATGATGATGATGATGATGATGATGATGTGATGATGATGATATGATGATGATGATGATGATGATGATGATGATCGTGATGATGATGATGATGATGATGATGAGGAGGAGGAGGAGGAGGAGGAGGAGGAGGAGTAGGAGGAGGACAAGGAGGAGGACAAGGAGGAAGACAAGGAGGAGGAGGATGAGGGGGAGGAGGAGGAGGAGGAGGAGGAGGAGGAGGAGGAGGAAGAGGAGGAGCAGGAGGGGGAGGGGGAGGATGATGAGGAGGAAGATGATTATGATGGTGCTGATGATGCTGCTGCTGATGATGATGATGATGATGATGATGATGATACGGATGGTGATGATGCTTATGCTGATGCTGATGCTGATGCTGATGCTGCTGCTGCTGATGATGATGATGATGATGATGATGATGATGGTGCGCATGATGATGATGATGATGATGATGATGATGATGATGATGATGATGATGATGATGATGATGATGCTGATGATGATGATGTTGATGATGGTGATGATGGTGATGCTGGTGATGATGGTGATGGTGATGATGATGCTGATGCTGATGCTGATGCTGATGATGATGCTGCTGATGATGTTGATGATGATGCTAAGAATGATGCTGATGCTGCTGATGAGGATAATATGGATTCCGAGTAGGATGATGCTGATGATGATGATGATGATGATGATGATGATGCTGATGCTGATGCTGATGATGATGATGATCATGATGATGATGATGATGATGATGATGATGATGATGATGATGATGATGATGATGATGATGATGAGGAGGAGGAGGAGGAGGAGGAGGAGGAGGAGGAGGAAGAGGAGGAGGAGGAGGAGGAGGAGGACAACATGAACGAGAGGGAGGATGGTTAAAGATCGAGGTGTGTAGACGTCGCTGAGGGTCGAATGAGGCCTCTGGAGATGGATGCCTCTGGAGAGTGAGGCCAGGATGGGGAGTTGGGGAAGGAGGAGGGTCCAAGATGGCCTCCGAGACCGACAAGACGTCTCTCAGTGCCCCCACGAGGTCCTCAAAGAGGTGCCCAAGAGGTCTCTAAGAGGCCTACGCTGCTCCCAGGAGGCCTACAGGAGATCCCGTATGGGGGCCCAGAACAGGCCTTCGAGAAGCCTCCAACAGGGTTCCCAAGATGCCCCAAGGCCCCAAGAGATTTCTAAGAGGCCTCTGGTCCACAACCCGGGCACGGTGGCAGGCTTGGCAGAAGTCCACTCGATCCGCCGCCCCCTCTGGTCTTGCCAACGGGATGCACGGCCTGCCAGACGTTAGGTAGTTCGTGCAATGGCCTTCGGCCGTTCCCGCCAGCCACCCGGAAGGCTGCCGAAAGCCACCGAAAATCCGGGTCCCGTTACCCAACTCGCCTCCAAGACGACGGCCGACATGACCCAAGACTGCCTCCAAGATGCCTCCAAGACTGCCAAGATGGCCCAAGTTGGCCTGCAAGACGGTCCCAAGACGCCTCAAAGAGGGCCAAGTTGGACCCAAGACGACCCAAGATTTCCTCCAGACGGCTCGAAAGGCCCCCAAGACGCCCCAAGAGGGCTCCAAGAGGACCTCCACAACCCCCCAACCATGATTTTACTTATTTCGAACATGAGTTTAGTTTTCTCGCCTTTTCGGGTTTTCGATGCCCCAAGGCGGCCCCATAGGCCCCCAAGATCGTTCCAAGACGGCCCAAGAGGGCCTCCAGAGGCCCTTAGATGGCCCCCAGAGGGACCCGAGACGGCCCAACGGGCCGCCAAGGCGGCCCCATAGACCTCCAAGACGGCCCTCAAGCGCCCAAGTAAGGAACCACGGCTGCGTAGAGAGTGTCCCCAGACGGCCTCCGAAGGCCAAGAGGTGCTTCAGAGGCCCCCAGAAGAATCCCAAGAGGCCCCTAAGAGGCACCAGAAGACATCCAAGAGGCGTCAGGTGCTCCCAAGAGGCCCCCAAGAGACTCCCAGGGAGCCTCCAGGAGGCCCAAGAGAGCCTTAAGAGGCCTCCTCTTTTTCCTCCTTCTCCTCCTCCTCCTCCTCTTCCTCCTCCTCTTCGTCCTCCTTCTCCTCCCTCTGCTCCTCCGTCCCCTTCCTCTCCCAAGTGTTTCCCCAAGGGAGTTCACAACGGCCGAGGGAGCACATGGTCCAATAGCTTGGCCAGATTGCGGCCCAAGTTTTGGTCGCATCGGCGCTTCCGAAAGGCCCGGGGCGGCGGCGACTCGTCGTAGGCATAGGAGGAGGAGGAGGAGGAGGAGGAGGAGGAGGAGGAGGAGGAGGAGGAGGAGGAGGAGGAGGAGGAGGAGGAGGAGGAGGAGGAGAGGAGGAGGAGGAGGAGGAGGAGGAGGAGGAGGAGGAGGAGGAGGAGGAGGAGGAAGAAGAATAATAAGAGGAGGAGGAGGAGGCGGAGGAGGAGGAGGAGGACTTCGATCCGCCGCCCCCTGTGGCTTGCCACAGGGGTGCTCGCCGTGCCTGACTTGTGCATACCTTCTGGCCCTCCCAGGAGGTTCCCAGTGACCTCTCGCCCAGCCCGCCAGCCCAGTGGACCAGCCATGAAGGACTGCCTCCAAGATGGCGCCCAGGATTGCCTCCAAGATGACCTCCGACCTGGCCGTACACGGCCTCCAAGACAGTCCCAATACAACCCCAAGACGGCCAACATTGCTCCCAGAGGGCCCAACAATGTCCCAAGAGGGCTTGAGATGGCCTAAGATGGTCCGTGACGTCCCGAAGATACTCCGAGAGCGGTACAACAGAGTCCTCAGGCGGCCCAGAAGATGCCAACGGCATTGCTTTCTTTTGTACCCCAAGCCTCCTGCGTTGAGTTCTCGTTTTGTATAGAGCACTGCGGTCCCACACCTCCTCCTGCTCCTTCTCCTCTCCCCCTTCTCCTGCCTCCTCCTGTGCCCCTCTTAATTGCCTGCTACCCTGCCTCCTACCTGCCGTTTGCCCTACCTCCTGCTTGCCTGCTACCCTGACTCCTCGCCATCTCTGGGGGCTGCGATCTGCGAAACCGTCGCCACTTTCGAGGGCTGCTGGGGGGTCCAGCGTGGTGACGTCATACGCAGACTAACTTTGACCTCGTCATCCCTGGGGGGCTGCGATCTGCGAAATCTGTCGCCAGTTTTGAGGGCTGCTGGGGGTGCAGCAGAGTAACGCCAGACGCGGACCTAAGTTCGACCTCGCCATCCATGTGGGGCTGCGACCGGCGAATCTGTCGGCACTTGCGATGGCTGCTGGGAGGTCCAGGGGAATGTCACCATACGCGGACCTACATTCGACTTGGTCATCCCAGGGGGCTGCGATCTGTGAAAGTGTCGCAACTGTCGAGGGCTGCTGGGGAGTCCAGCGGCGCGCCCCAGCAGGCACTGCCGTTGCCGTCCCTTCTCCTCCTCCCTCCTCCTCCCCCCCTGTGTGCCGGGTCCTTTGTACGGAAATCCGTCGGTACAAATGTGCACCCTTTTTCTTTTCAGGCCGTCGCGTGTCTGCGCGCCGGAGAGACGGGCCGCGCACCTGCGTCTGTCATGTTTCTTTTGTTTTCTCCCCCCTCCTCCTCCTCCTCGTCCTCCTCCTCCTCCTTTCCCCCCTCCTCCTCTGTTCCCTCCCGCGTGCCTGGTCCGAGGCATCGAAGCACGCAGCGTGCCGCGCGCCGTGTGGGCGGGCCGCGGCTACTGGCGCGCGGTTTTTTCCTCCGTGCCCTGTGGCTGTTCTGCGGCCTCCGGGCTCTCATGAGCCGACGTCCCCCTCTCATCGTTCCTCTTCGTGTCCCTCGTCTTTCTCGCCTTTCCTGGCCTCGTGGCCGGTCCGCTCGTCGTCCTCGTCGTCGTCGTCTCGTTTTCCTCCTCCCCACGTTCTTGCCGACTTGCCTTGGTTGTGCCGGCCTCGGTGCGACGCTGTAGCATCGAGGGGCCCCCTTCCCATCAGTTGGGAAGCTGGCGACTTGTTGTTTCAAGTGCGCATGGCCCACACAGGATTTTGAAGTAGGGTCAGGATATGATACTGATGGGGGCCCTTTGCACCCTTGCCGCAGTGGTCGGTCGCGAGGCGCCCGCGCGGAGATGTCATACGCAGACCTAAATTTGACCTCGCCATCCCTGGGGGGC